CCCCCCCCCCCTCCACACTCCTCTCTTTTATTTGTCCCAAGTTTATTGTATCTTCTCTTTAACTCTTCTTTATTTAGACAGTTTGGACTGATAATTAAAGAGAAAATCAAACAAAAACCGGAAACTGTTAGTTTAAAAATTATAAATATTCATATAAGAATTGACCGGCTTCCGCTTACTGGAAATATTCGACCTGGAATCTAAAATACATATTTTTGTTTTTACTCTTGATGTTTTATCTGGAGAAAAGGCAGAGCCTGCATTTGATTTATAATTGACAGCTGAGTATTTTATGCAAGAAAAATTAGTTTTTCTATCCATAGAAAACATTCTTCTGACATTTTTTACCAAAGTTTGAATAATTTAGATAGTTTAACCCCTCCCCCCTTCACACATACCCCACCCCCCCCGTTTTACTTTACTTTGAATTTTTTTCGATTACCAATTTATTTTTTGCGCAAAACATCCTGATTCTTTGTTTTTAATCTTAATTTCGGTAGTTTAAGGCAAATTCTATTGCTATAAAGTTGCAGGGTTAGGAATTAAGTTGAAAGATTGGGTTGAATGTAAAACAAAAATAAAACAAAGTTAAATAAATTAAAAGAGTTGAATAGAGATAGAAAAGAGCGTTTTAAATAAAGCCTGCGGAGATTTTAACGAGCTATTTCTTGAATTGTATTAAATCTGGTTAGTGACGGTCTAGTTAGAGGGCGTGGAGGGGGGTTGGTTGGACGGAATATTCTTGCAAATCATGCAAATATTTATTCTTTCCTCTATAATCTAGCGTAAAATTACTACTTGTATTGTCACATTCAGTCAAAAAAGGGACAATTTGCTTTTTATAATAAATATAGTAAGGGGGTACTAGTTTTTCTGTCTGTCATTGTAAGAATTGGTTTGGCATGTGCAAAATAATGAATATCCAAATATTGTCGTGTTTTAAGTAAATTTAGCGTGTAATAGGTGGAAATTCACCTTTTCCCTCCCTTAAACACTTCAATTTTTAGTCTGTTTTACTTAGTCAATTTTAAAACCCTTTTTTATTGTTCCATTTTGAATAGCATTGGAAGGAACAATTGAGAAGATTTCGTGGAAAAATCAAGTTACAAGGAAACAATGCGCCTGCATTTATACTTATATTGAAGGATCCTTTATTGTAGTATAGCATGATGTGTACAGGAAACTAGAAATTGAAAAAAATGACAGAAAGGCAGACAGCTAGACAGTTATAGTTAAATACATATATATAGGATAGATAGATAGATACTAGATAGATATTAGATAGATAGATACACAAGATGTAAATTAGGAAGGAAATTATAATGGTTATAGTCTCTGGTATACCGTTATTGACTTTAAACACGATATATCTATTCTCTGTATATATAGTATCTTTAAACTAGGTAGATAGTTAGCTATATAGATAGTTTTAAAATATATATATTTTTATATTGTTAGCTTCAATGGTGGATAAAACAACAAAGATAGCTATGAAAAGAGTCAAGATGGTATTTATAGCTTGATTATTATGTAAAAGTGTACTTAATTTGTTAAAAAAGCTATAGAAATGTAAAAATAACAAGATAAGTATATAGCTAGATAGATCTAGATCCATATTTAGCGAGCGAGTTTAGTATATTGGTAGCTTAATAGCTAGATATTTAGGCAGCTGGATAGTTAAATGATAGAAAGATCAATAGTTATGATATAGCTAAATGGTTAGATATATAGATATAGCTATGCTTGGTTAGATGTAGCTGGACGTACAGTTAGATATATATTTATATATATATCTAGGGATAGTAGATGTAGATAGTTAGATATATATTCATATATATATATCTCTAGGGATAGTAGATGTAGATAGTTAGATATATATTTATATATATAGCTAGGGATAGTAGATGTAGATAGTTAGATATATATGTATATATATATATCTAGGGATAGTAGATGTAGATAGTTAGATAGTTAAACCTAAAAGCAAATTATGAGACGAAGTAACGAAACAAAGAGTTGTTTAAACTAAATAAACCTATTTTACAACCTTTGCCGTAATTGCTTTGCTAAATTGAAAAACAATTATCTTTTAAAAAAATCATACAATAGAACATTTTCTCCAAATCTGGTTTCATATTACTTTTTATTTGATAAAAATAAATCAAAATAATTTTGTTTTGAAAACTTTTTATGGCTTCTTGATGCTTCCTCCCCCTCTCAACATCGGTTGAAATTGATGTGCTGTTTTATTACTGTTGACTTACTGGCCTGGTTGTTTATGGGTGTACAGTGTATTGAAGTAGGATAAACCATATACAGTCCAGATATCCATCCTATACATGGACATTTGTAATACACTTCTATCTACTGGGCTACGCACACTCTTTATGTGCCTATTTATCTTCAGGGGTTTAAATGTCAGATTTGCACAGATTTTTTTGCAATTTCGTCAAGTTTTTTCTTGCAAAATTCTTCTTAATTTGAATCCCATTGAGCATCTCATTTTATAGCTGTACAAATATTTTCCGATTAGCATTTACATTTTCGCAGAGAAATCTTTACAATATTCAGAGTTTTTAAATATGAAATATTGAACATTTTTCAATGAATATATTTTATTTTAGTTCCCGGAAGCTGGGGGGAATGGTCTGAATGGAATGAGTGTGATGTAGAATGTGGTCGAGGTGTTCAAGTTCGTCAGAGAACCTGTGATTCTCCGGCTCCGGTCAACGGAGGTCCAGGATGCGAGGGACCAGCAATACAGAAGAAGTCCTGCTCCCGGATATGTCCAGCTGTAGATGGATCCTGGAGTATGTGGACAAGTTGGAGTACCTGCTCCACAGACTGTATCCATGTGAGACGGCGGAGCTGCTCCGCCCCTGCACCTTCCAACGGCGGAAGATATTGTCAAGGGAAGGATATTACAAGTAAGAACTGTACCGGAGGTTTGTGTAGACCTGATCTTGTAGCTCCAAACCTACCTGTAGTTGTATACACCCAGGATACTCCTCAACCCAACCCTGGAATACAAACATCAGATCTAACTCTGTATATCGGACTCGCTGTTGCCTTCCTCGTTTTCATCCTGGTCGTCTTTGTTATCATTCGTCTTCTACAGAGGAAACGATCTCCACCCCACGGATATACTGCTGCAGGTAGATAGATAGATAACTTAGCTTTGTCTTTTTATAGTCATTTCGCCCTGTTTTGTATGTTTATCTAACTATTGTCGTATAATATGCTTGAATTTTCCTTGTTTATTCTTATCTTTTGTCACCTTTGGTGTATTCTTGTGCATTCTTGTTATGTTTTGTTTTTATTTCTTGATTTTATTATTTCAATTGTTTGACAGTTAGTCTTGAAGAACTCAACTCGGGGTATTTGGTCCCAATAAATTCTTTCCCAACATTAACTACAGTTTATCTAAATTTTAGAATCTCGGGGGAGGGAGAGAGGAAGAAGAAAGGCGGAGAAGGGAGGGGGTCTAAAAGCTTTTTAGGTTTTGTTATCTCTTGGTTGAATCTTGCTAGTAGTTGAAATCTAAACAATCAGTTCACATCTGTCTGTCTGTTAACATGTCTGTTAATCAATCTCTGCCATCGTTATTCAATTTGTCTTTCTTTTTTCAATATATCCAAATCTGTCTACTGATGTCTATTTGTCTGTTAACAATGTATATGTTGTAGAGCGGACAGCCCTACCGTCTAATAGTACCTTTGACTGTATTTTAGGTTACTCCGATGGGTCTAAGAAGGGACTAGGATATACTCCTGACCTAACCAGTGGAGTTCTACATCGAGGTTCTCCTACATGCTACGAGTACACCTACAGTGATAACAACAGTAATACCAGTGTAAAGAGTGGTTTTAATCCTCCATCCTCCCTAAACACGCATCCGTTCTCTGAGATACGTCCGCTCTCGGAGCATTTTTATGAGCAGCCGATGCGTGTGTTTCCCACGAACCCATCTCCGGCAGCATCTCTGAGTAGAAGTAGTACAGGAAGCGGAGCTATGAGTCCTGTATCCGTCCCGTCCTCCCTTTGTCTGCCCCGATGTGCTGACCTGCAGCAAGTTGCCTGGACGAGGGTTGGCGAGGCCGGAGCAAGGATTAATATTCCACGCTCTGCGGTTTCTCTCACCGTTCCTCAAGGAGCAATAGAACCTGGGAGATCTGAAGAAGTTTGGATTTCTGTCGTCGGAGGAGATAAACTCCGTCCTCCTCTTGATCCTTCTCAAGCTCTCATCACACCCGTCGTCATTGTTGGACCTCTTCATCTTACAGCTCACCTCAAGAAGCCTGTAGTTGTCTCCATTCCTCATATTGGAGGTCAGGGACTACGCCAGGTCCAGGTGCTCCAGTGTGACAGGTTGGAGGGAGGACCAGCTCCCTGGAGATGTGTTGCTGTATCAGGACAGGAGGATACAGCCTCGTCAACCTCTGTTTATGTGGACTCCAGTATGTGTCAGCTTGTCACAGAACGACTAGCCGCCTTTGCTCTAGTCGCTCAGTCCTCTGATATAGCATCAGGACGCGGGAGTATGACTACAAGCAGCTCGGGGTTCTCTTCCACAGGATCTGACCCGGCTCCATTTAGAATCCCCGTCCAGGTTAAGCAAGCTATTGCCCGCCTTTTAGACCCGCCGACAACAAACAACAACGACTGGCGCCAGCTCGCAGAACGGTTGGGCGTTAATCGGTATATTACATTCTTCGCCACTCAAACTAGTCCGACAGAGGCAATACTTGACCTTTGGGAGGCTAGGAATAGAGAGAGTACAGCTGTAGCTGGGTTGGTCAACTCATTGCGTGGGATGGGTCGTCATGACGCAGCTCAGGTTCTAGATATGGACACCAGTTGGCCTTGATTAAAAATCCGCCATCTTTTCTCCAGATCCGCCATCTTTAATTCAGATCCGCCATCTTTAATCCAGATCCGCCATCTTTAATCCAGATGTGCCATGTCAAACTAGACTTTCTATCTCCTCACAACAAAACTATTTTAAAAAGACATTTTTAAACTTGAAAAGGCTTCTTTTGTTAATTCTATCAAAATTTGAACTCTTGAACCAAAATTCCAAGTTCAGACCGGCTGTGAAAATATTTGTGATAGAAACCCTAAAAGTGTCCTTCTTCAAACATTATTATGCTTTTACCATAATAATCTCTGACACGTAGTTGTTGAAAATTATTGTGATTTGTCTGGTTTTGAACTCCATGTTCTATCCTAGTATACAATAGACCATGAGATATTTGAGATGGGACGGGTAGATAGTAGAGAGGATGATGACGGGGCCGGAACCTGAAATATTGCTGCAGATGCCCCTCCCCATTGCCCCCCCTCCTCCCTCCTCCTACTTCAACTCTATTGTTAAAAACTGTTTCCAACGTGTTGAATGCTAGGATATTGAAGGTAGGGGGATAGGAGGGTTTCCCATGAGTTCAGGTTTCACCCTCTATAATCCCTTATTATCATAATCGAGGAAGTGAGAAAAAAAATTGTCCCTCCCGGCCGAAATGCTTAAATCTTAAACATTTTTAAGTTAAAAATTTGGATAACATAGCTAGAGGACGGTTTTTAATTCCGGGATATCCGGATACCATTGTATATTTCACACATGAAAATACTTTCAGATGACAATTTATAAAATTCATTCAGTTAAAATATTGTTAGATTTGTATATGTAATTATAAACTGTTAAGATATCAGTAGAAAATAAAGTATACTTTAAAAATAGGGATTTTTAAAAGAGCGAATAAACCTGTGCAGTGTCATTTCCAACTTTTAGGATATTTAATCTAGCAGAAATCATAATTTGAAATATCAAGGGTTTCCACTTCAGGTTGCAAAGATGTAAGGATTAGACGACTAGAGTTTGAGGCAAGTAATATCTTTCTTTATCTCTATAATCCACAGGCAGAATAAAGTGAAGACTGAAGAGTTCTTTATCCTATTTCCTGTTCTATCAATATTTTATTAGTTTATATTCATTCATTGCCATTTAGCGGATATTTTCTACTATTAAATTAATTCCGCTGATCGTGCAAAGTAAAGTTCAGCTATAATAAGGTTTTCTTGGAGTCCTTTAATATTACAAGTTTTAATTATCATCGGAGGGAAACTTAGATTATTAAAAGAGGAAACATTACTGCAACCTAACATGGAATATTGATACAAATATGTTTTATCTCCCAGAGAGACTGATCGAGTCTTAATGCATACAAACTCTATTTTTTTATCCCCTTTGTCGTTGACATTTGATATTTAAAACCATGAATCTTGTCAGATCGAATTATACAAGTTTGAAATATCAGAGTTTTACACCATTAGGTTACAAAGATATATGGATAAGAAAATTTGAACTTGTGGCAAAGACTCAATTTCTTTTGTCAATTTGTTTAATAATAACTATCTGTTCGGTAAATTAAGCTCTGGTCACTAAGAATACGATAAATTTGTGTGTGTGTGTGGAGGGGGGGGGGGGTAGAATTTTATTTAAAGTTTAAAGGAACTGTAAACGTTAATGTTTAGTTAAAAGTTACAAAGATATTCCGATTAATGAGTGACATGCCTGATGCCAAGGCAAAAAACGGACCCTGTCAAACGCCTGAGTAAAAATAATAAAGTTTTTTAATATCTAAAATTCACTTATTTTCATTTCACTACGGAATTTTTAGCAACAGAGAGAAGAAAGGAAATATGCTAAATGTTCCTTTCAACGACGATACCTTCTTTATTGTTACTCAAGTTAAAGTTTAAAGCGTCTATTAGGTAATTACTTAGTGTTTCTTGAAAATAAATGGTTGAAAAATTAGCTAGGTTTTCCTGAAAAGGAGGGGTGGGGAAATAATCTCCCCCCCCCCTCCCCTTGTGTTATATATGACGACCCTAAAAGTTTATATATATCTGAAAACCCGTAAACGTCAAGATTTCGATCCGAGCCTTAGCCCAAAGTTTAAGAAAGTATCAATGAATAAAAAACAGTTTATGATACACATTTTTAAAGTAAGCATACTAGATAAATAGTTGATTGAACCCCCGTAGCTAAGTTGTCAAGTTTTGTCCTAGGAACGCATACCGAATCAACGAATTCTTTGGTTAAAAAGCTGCAAAGGTGTGATCTGAGCTGAAAACTTTAGAATGGTGGATATCAGGATTAATGCTTGATCCACTCCTTTTCTTAATCTCGAGATTAAATATGGCTTGTTTTCCTCATGAATTTAATCTGCAGATAAGTCAACAGATCGGGATTAAGGATATTCCATTCTAAAGTTTTCAGCTCTGGTCTCATTTTTATTTCAAATTTGTTTTCGCTCAGGGGAAAATAAGATAAACCAAGTCAATCCAATATTGCTAAATTGTTTTCAAATCTTTATGAACAGAAAATCCTGATGACATGGTGTATTTTTTGACCTACGCAAATCCGCTATACTCCACTTCAGACCTACGCCAAATCCGCTACACTACACATCCGACCTACTAGCACGTGGTTTTAAAGCTGCTACAAGGACTTGTGGCCCCAGCACCCGGCTCCCTAGCCTGTCCTAGCCACAGCGCTCGGCCCAGAAATTGTCTTAACCTAACCCTCAAATAATACAAAAATAAACAGCTGGCGTAGGTCTGATATTGCAGTAGGTCGGAAAGTTAGTAGGTGAAAAGTTCAGAAGGGGAGATGTTGCGTTTGACGATGTAACATTACCCAATCTCTTTTCCGTTTTTATTTGTATTTATAACACACCAACTATTTCCTGAGCATGGTCCAACTACCACTTAATATATTGAAGTTAATCAATTCTCATTCTTGACATCTGAATCAATGTAACTGCTGAAAATAATGGACGCAAGGAAGTTTTTTATAGCATCTATTTAATAATAAAGTGTGTTCAGGGGCGGATACAGGATTTTAGTGAGGGGGGTGCTAGATTCATTTCGGAACAAAAACATCCAGATTTAGAAACAACATTTTTTTAAAGATAGATATGTTTCCTGTTTTCCACAAGGTTTTCTTTCCCTTAAGTGCTATTGAGGAGTAATTCTGAAATCTCAGGGGGGTGCGAAGGTCCTGCGCCCCCCCCTGTATCCGCTCCTGAGTGTGTTTCCAAAGAGCTTTTGTCATACATAAGATAAGAGATATAGTTGAGCAATCTTTTCCCGGAAAGTTATAGTTACACAACTTAGATAGAGGAAAAATCAAACAAAATATTAATTATTATGTAACTCCAGATTTTAACTCCAAACACTAACTTTATGTTTCTTCAAATTTTATTTAATCGCATTTGGGATTTAATTCATCCATCACAATCTTTAAACTTACATAGTCGTATTTTTCTATTTTTTTTTTAAACATTAGCCAACAAAAAAAATAAAAAAGAGAAAAAATTCGTCAAGCAAATTGTTAAACAGTGGGAAAAGGGCCTAACTGTTAAATCATCGTGGCCTACTTCTTCCTTCCAAAATGGTTTAGTTTTTTCTCTGACTTTATTTAATTATGATTCTTTAAATAAGCTAATAAAGTTTATGGAGACAAATATGACTTTAAGAATTAGCGATTTAAGATAAAAAACTTCAGAGTTAATGATTTGATCCCAACTGTACATAAACTGTCACTTGTCAATACTAGATTTAAGCTCAATTGATATAATTTATCTGTAAATGTTGTTTAAAACAAAAACTTACTTTCCAACAAAAATAAGAAGCCAATTTTTAATTCCAAAATGTTATAATCTTATCAAACAAAGCTTAAAAAATAAAAATTATGTTTTCTTTAACGAAACCCTTACATAATGGAATTTGTTTTATGAAACGTGACACTTTTAGAATCAGTAATTTCACATTTAACGGTTAATTGCTCGATTTATAAACTGTACTGTCGTCAGGCCTTATTGATTCTTAAAAATCAGAACTAACAGAAATAAAATTATAAATTTTTGTCAATGGAATAAAATATTCTCAGTGGCATTTTGCTTAGAAATATTAGTCTTGCATATTTGCAGATATCAGAGCACAAGTTATGGTCTAAATTTGAAATATCTAAGGTTTACACCATCAGGATGCAATATAGGGATTAGCTTCGAGTTTTGTTAAGAAAAAAGATCAATTGATTGAAATCCCATGATGAGAAACTCCGGAAGAAGTTTGTTACACAAAAACAACAACATGCATCTTAGCTGTCCGGTAGTTTGGCATGTTTATACTTCTATTGAGTACTTCAAACTAAGCTATGCTGCACGTCAAATCAAAATATAATATGTTTTCAATCCTCTAATTGAAAAGCTATATTGAGAAGAGCAAATCTGTTTTAAATTTATAAAATGTAAATAGATACATTTGCTCACGTCATATGTCATACTTGTTCGTAAAATGAGAACTAGAGGAGCTACGAGGTCACAAATGCGTACCAGTTACGTAATCTATATCATCAAGGTCTTTGCTCATGTATATATATATTTGTATATTTATATGTTAGCTATAGCTGGCTAAACGTCGGTTGGACCAATTTTTTGAGGGAACCCATTGGTCATGGGGATAAGGGAGGCTAAAAAAATTCGATTTTTTTTTTCAAAAATTAAATTTTTTATTGATCGAATTTTTTGTCCACTGTCAATGCCGGGTACTTCTCCTAGTGTCCAGGCGCGCAACTAGACATTTTGTTAGGGGGGGGGGGGGCGGCTATAGGGAAATATTTCCGGATATTCAGTGATTAACACATCTGATATGAAATAAAAAAGAAATCTATTCTGGTTAATATAAATCAAAATATACATAGCACTCAGAAACTGACAACAAATGCCTTTCATTAAAAAATCATGATTTTACATGAAAAATATTTTTTTAATATGACACATCACACAATATTTGTGGTGAACATGTAGGATCAATTTAATAGTTGTATACTAAAGTATTAAAGCAATATCATAATAAGTGGCAGAACTGATTGAAAATGTCTAAAAATACTTAACAAACCCCCCTTTCCCTTTCCCAGGAATTCATGAATCGCTTTAGTGCAAAAATGGATGGACTTCTTGGTTCCCCTCCCACAGGGGGTGCAAGCCTTTTTAAGGGAGGGGCATACCCCCCTTAATAAGAATAGGGAGGCCTTGCACCCCCTTGCCCCCCCTAAATGCGCGCCTGCTAGTGTCTAATAAATTTACAACATTTTCCTTCTGTCTAGTTTGCACATATGAATACAATGACGGGTAGTTCAGCTAGTGTCTAATAAATGTACAACATTCTCCTGCTGTCTAGTTTGCACATATGAATGGTATGGTATTTATTCCAAACAGAATAAATACACTTTGGATTTTGTGAGATTTCAAAATTAAAACCAGCGTTTTACCAGGAACGTTAGGCTTTTAGAGATAATTATTTGTAATACGAGAAAATTTTCTAAATGTTAGGGTTAGTTGGTGTTTTTTTCTTACTGTAGGGGTGATAAGGTTTTCATAAGAAAGGTTCAACTGTAATCATTGAACGGGAATTAATTAACAGTTGATTATTTGAAAGTTTTACTTCTTTTTTTTGCCGGCCATTCATGAAATATTTATCTACATCCTTATTACTGTGAAACTTCGTCAGTGTCTCATAATTTTATAATGGCTTATTTGTAATTCCAGCTTTTATCAAATATGTGTCAAACGAGTGTTGACAGGTCGAATTCCAGCTTGATCAGATATTTGTCAAGCGATTTTTGACAGGTCGAATTCCAGCTTTGCACAGATAATTTGTCAAGCGATT